CGTAAAATCGTTGTCGTGTTCTCTTCCGCACTATCAAATTTATTATGGTATCAGAGCCTGGTCGTGATTTAGGGTTTCCGTTTTCACCATGAGTGACGACGAATCGCCTGTGAAGAACTCGGGCAAGTCGGCTACGACGTCCGAAGGTTCGCGTGGCACAGACCCGGACCCCTCCAGCCCTTTCTTCCTGCACCAGTCGGACAGCACTGGTCACCTTCATGTGAGCAGCCTTCTTACGCCGACGAACTACGGCGAATGGATTCTTGAGATGACGGATGCTTTGGTCACCAAGAACAAAATAGGGTTCGTGGATGGGTCAATCCCACGACCTGCGCCAGGCACAGCCGAGGAGCGAGCCTGGGTCCGCTGCGATGCGCTCGTAAAGGGGTGGCTTCGTACAGCGATGGACTCCGAACTACGGAGCAGCATCATGCACGCCAAAACAGCTCAGGAGATCTGGGAGGATCTCCGGGATCGCTTCAGCAAAGGGAACTTGACGCGGGCTTATGAACTCCGACGTCATGTTAGCCTTCTCCAGCAAGAGAAGCAGTCGGTTTCCAGCTTTTACACTCAGCTGCGGAAAGTCTGGGAAGAAACTCAGACCATATTGCCGCCGCCGCTGTGTACATGTGGAAGAAGAGGAAGGGATCAAAATGAAAGCCTTCGCCTTCTTGATTTTCTGTTAGGTCTTGATGACCACTTTGGCACAGTGCGCAGTCAGATTCTCTCGATGACACCCACACCAACGCTGCCCGAAGCTTTTCGAATTGTTTACAATGATGAGCAGCAGCGTAATCTCACGCAAAACAGGAAGTCGTCACCTGAGGCAGCAGCTTTTGCCACCTTGTAGAGCTCCGAGAAAGATGCCAATGGTACGCGCCTGCAGCGTGATCGTGAAAGAGGAGAACGGGGTGATCGTGAAAAACTCCGCTGCACGCACTGCCTCAAGACTGGGCATCTCCGTGAGAGTTGTTACGAGCTCATAGGATGGCCCTCTCGTGATGACCAATCTGATCGGCCCAACCGACGTTGCAACCGCGAGCCTCGAAACAGGCAGAGTTCGGGTCGCACTCAGCCCCGCGAACCGCGAGCTGCCCAAGCCGAATCTGAACCGAGTCCTGTACCTGGTTTCTCCATGCAGCAGCTAGAGCAGTTGCGCCAATTCTTTGGCGGGCAATCCCCTGCGGCGTCGGATCCAACAAGCAACATGGCTGGTACGTTTAATTTTTCTAATCAACCGGAGTGGTTAATTGATTCTGGCTGTAACGAGCACATAACAATGGATGGTTCCCTGTTGTCTGTGCATGATACTGGTTTGCCTGAGCATCCTATACGCATCCCTAATGGGAGCAGTATACCCGTTAAACGTATAGGCTCTGTTCAGCTTGGTAAGGATATGGTTCTTGGTCGAGTCTTGCATGTGCCGGAGTTTCGTTGCAACCTGTTATCGTTCAGTCGACTATGTCAAGAGCACCGTGTTGCGTTAATTTTTCTGGGTGATTTTTGCGTTATACAGGACTTACACTCCAGGAACGTGATTGGGAAGGGGGAAGTTCGTGATGGACTCTATTTCCTGCGGTTATTCGGGTGTCGACAGGCGCAAGTACATGCAGTTTCTAAGAGCATTGGTCTTCCTGCAGCTCTCTGGCACGCTCGTCTGGGTCACCCATCGGCGGCAGTCTTAAATAAGCTAGATGTTTTAATTTCTGGTTCTCTAGCATTGGACAATACTGTGTGTCATCCTTGCTCACGAGCTAAGCAAGTTAGAACTCCTTTTCCTGTTAGTGGCATTCGTACCACGTCTTGTTTTGAGATGTTACACTTGGATATCTGGGGTGGCTATTCCACACCGTCTCTCAGCGGTGCCCATTATTTTTTGACTATTGTTGATGACTTCAGTCGAGGAGTTTGGGTTTATCTTCTCAAATATAAGTCAGAAGTGGGCAGGTATTTAAAGATGTTTTGTAGTCTTGTTCGCACCCAGTATGGTAAACAGGTTAAGAAGATTCAGACTGATAATGGTCTGGAGTTTGGCACCATTTCTTTGCGGGATTACTACGAGCAAGAGGGTATCTTATTGCAGACCTCCTGCACCGATACCCCACAGCAGAATGGCGTAGTTGAAAGGAAGCATCGCCATCTTCTTGAGACTGCTCGGGCGCTGCGTTTTCAAGCGTCCCTTCCTATCCGGTTTTGGGGTGAGTGTATTCTGACTGCAGCTTATTTGATAAACCGTTTGCCTACTAATGCCACAGGACGTACCCCCTATGAAGTTGTGTTCGGCAAACCTGCCTCTTACTCACATTTACGGGTCTTTGGTTGTCTGGTTTATTGTAAAGACACGCATGCTCACCTTGGTAAGTTTGAAGAACGTGGTCGAGCATGCGCCTTTCTTGGCTATGCGGCAAGTCAGAAAGGATATCGTGCCTATGATCTAGTAGCACGACGTATGATTACTAGTCGGGACGTTGTCTTTCATGAATCAGTGTTTCCCTTCCAATCCGAGACTTCGCGGCAGTTCACATGGGTTCCCGGGACTGTGTTCACTCGCTCACCTGACGACATGGCGGATGAGCTGGTAATGGCCGTCAGCGGCCCAATGCCGACAGCTCCTGATGTGCCCGCGTTGTCTTCCTCAGATCATGGGCCGGAGAGCACTGATGGGCCAGCAAGTAAAGATGGGCCTGCGAGTCCATCAACTCTAGCAAGCAAAGATGGCAGTGGGCCAGTGAGCCCATCAACGAGGGCGCTTCTTCTAGGATGGCACGGTCCATGAATTCCGCCCCGACTTCAGCGTCTGGGCCAGCAAGCCCATCAAGGACGCCACCTGAAACCCAGCTGGAGCCCGAGCCTGCTTCCCCTCCTGCCCAGCTTTTGCGTCGCGGTGATCGCGTGCGTGGCCCGCCAAAGCATCTTGCTGATTATTATACAGGGAGTACAGCCCACTCTGCACAATTTCCTTTGTCTGCCAATCTCAATTATGATCGTTTTACGGCTAATTATTGTGCCTTTCTTGCAGCCGTAGCACATAATCCGGAACCTAGGACGTTTTTTGAAGCCGTGCGAGAAGAATGTTGGCGTCGTGCCATGATTGCGGAAATTGTTGCTCTTGAAGAAAATGGGACTTGGAGTCTCGTCATTTTACCTCCGGGAAAAAGGGTCATAGACTGCAAATGGGTTTATAAAGTCAAGTTCAACCCCGATGGAACAATCGAGCGGTACAAAGCACGGTTAGTAGCGAAAGGTTACACGCAGATTGAAGGTGTGGATTTTCATGACACTTTTGCCCCGGTCGCCAAACTTGTGACCGTCCGGTGTCTCCTTGCTGTGGCTGTTAGCAAAGGCTGGCATATTCATCAACTGGATGTCAATAATGCCTTTCTTCATGGTGATTTGGATGAGGATGTTTACATGCGCATTCCACAGGGATTTGCCGAGCCTGGCGAAACATGGGTGTGTAAGTTACACAAGTCTCTTTATGGGCTACGTCAGGCATCCCGGAACTGGTACCAGAAATTCACAGCAGCACTCTGTGAACTGGGTTTTCGTGCTTCGCCAGCAGACCACTCTCTGTTCATCTTTCGACGGGGGAGTATTCAGGTTATTGCTCTCATCTATGTTGATGATGTTGTTCTCACTGGTAACTGTCTGGATTTTATCTCACAGGTCAAAAGATTCCTCCATGATCGGTTTACCATAAAAGATCTTGGTGTTTTACGCTACTTCCTGGGCATTGAAGTTGCCCGTGCCCCAGAAGGGATGGTTCTTAGTCAGCGGAAGTACGCTCTTGATATTCTTCATGATTCCGGCACCACTGGCAGCCGCCCTAGTGCCTTTCCAGTTGAACAAAATCATCATCTTACCAGTCCGGCTCCATCTGATCACCCCGATCCGGCCGCATATCGCCGTCTTGTCGGTCGGCTACTCTATCTAACGGTGACTCGTCCTGACATCACATATGGGGTTAACATTCTTAGCCAGTTTGTTCACTCCCCGACACGTGCTCATATGGAAGCCGCTCAGCGTATTCTTCGGTATCTCAAGGGAGCCCCAGGACAAGGTCTTTTCTTCCCAGCACAGAGCTCGCTTGATCTTACAGCATACTGTGACGCTGATTGGGGAGGCTGCCAGTCCTCCCGCCGTTCTACCACAGGTTATGTCATCACCCTTGGTGGTGTACCTGTTTCTTGGCGCACTAAGAAACAGAGTGTTGTTGCTCGCTCGTCTGCCGAAGCGGAGTATCGGGCCATGGCCAACACTGTCAGCGAAGTACTTTGGTTACGTTGGTTGCTGCAGGAGATTGGAGTAGAGCAGCAAGGTCCGATTCCTCTTTACTGCGACAATCAAGCAGCACTTCACATCGCCGCTAATCCGGTTTTTCATGAGCGTACGAAGCATGTTGAGATGGACTGCTATTTTGTTCGGGAACGAGTCCAAACTGGTGACATTGCCCCCATGAAGATTAGCTCGCATCATCAACTCGCAGACATGTTTACCAAAGGCCTCGGTGCAGAACGTTTTCACTTTCTGTTGTCCAAGCTGCGTGTTCGTGACCTTCACGCCACAGCTTGCGGGGGAGTATTGGAGATGGGCCAGCAAGCCCAACCGAAGCCCAGTGACGTCTCGCACTCGAAGCCTGCGGCAGCATCTCATGTTTGCACATTGTTTGATTGTCCTTGTAATTATACCCTAGTAGCAGATGATGATGGGTTTAAATATCAGTGTAAGGCCATCGGCCAGACTTAAGAAAACCTAATAAAGAATCAGCCGTGAGCTCCTTCGAGCTCACCGTGGAGTAGTCCTGCTCACACCGAACAGGGAAACCACGTAAAATCGTTGTCGTGTTCTCTTCCGCACTATCAAATTTATTAAAGTAAAATAAAAAAATAAAAAAAATTATTATAATTGAAAGAGTAGCTCCAGGCTCGCCTCGATCCCGTCGATCACCGCCTTCCCGCCCGTGTGGATGCAGAAGTGCTCCACCCCTGTTTTGAAATTAATCACCAGCGGCTTCCCCCTCTTCGCCCCAGATCCGGCCGCGAGGTCTTCAATTTCCTCATCGAGTACACCGCCACGAACCGGACCAGCTCCCTGACCGGGAGGATTTTGGGGGAGATTTCCCTGAGATTGTCGGCGAACACCCGGGTTGCAGCTTTGGGCAGATTCTTCACCAGGTGGAACCCAAGCCTCCCCTGTCCGTCCTCCTTCTGGATACAGCACGCGTAAGAATCGTCCTTCCCCCCCGTGGTGTTCGACATAATGCCTACGGAGATCAAGCTGGCGCTGCATCCCATACCGGTGAGATCGAATGTCCTGATGTCGTCCCGCATCTTGTAGTGGTTGACGATGCGTGAGGTGGGGGAAGGGACAGCGGCGAGCATCGAGACGTTGACAACGAGGAGGTCGATTTCGTCCGGCTTGACGCCGGAGCGGGCGAGGAGCTTGCCGATGGTGTCGTGGAAGAACTCGTCCATCTCGAGGAGGCCGTCGCGGAGGGTGGGGTTCTCCTCGCGGCCCTCGAAGACCATGTGCGGGGCGTAGGTCTCCTCGCCGATGTCGGATGAGAGCATGGCCTTGAGGAGGAACTTGCACTCTTTCAATTATAATAATTTTTTTTTATTTTACTTTATTATGAAAATGAGTTGGAAATGATAGAAGATTAAAATTTATTTTATTTATTAGTTTTTAGTTGCCACGTCACCGAGTTAACGGTCAACTTTGAGGGTTGACTGCCACATCAGACATATTTAACGGAGTTGTACGGAGAGTGACCAAACTTGAACCATTTAACTAATGTGAGTGACCAAGATTGGATTTAAATATTTTCAGTGACCAAACATGAACGTTTTTTGTAATCTCAGTGACCAACCATGCAATTAACCCTAAAGACATATTTTTCGCCAATCTTTTTTATTCTTTTGGTAAAATTTCCTTTCATTCCCCCTCTCTACACTCATTTCTTCACCATATGATAATTTGTCAGGTAGCTCGCCGCGTTCTTTTTGCACCCTTTCCCCTCGTACAATTTTATGCATTCCACTATTTTCTCCCATTTGTTTTTCAGTCCATTATTGCTACACCCTTTTCTTTCTCTCTGATGGTTTGCCTAGGCAATTGAGCAAGTTTTTTTTTTTCCTTCTTCATTTCATCATTTTCCCCCATCCTTTTCATTCCAGAATTTCTAGACAAGTTTCTTCCTCCACCGATGATTTGTATGGGGGATTAGACAATGGTTGTTCCATCACTCCACCATTTTTTATTATCATTTCTATGTTTCTACATTTGTTTCTTCCTCTTCTAACGATGACCAAGCTAAGTCGAAGATGAGTATCTGGGAGGTTGGAGTCACTAATTAGATCAACCCTTGGAGGCTGGCTGAGTTTGCTCACGTGATGTTTCTTCTTCTTTTCTTTTTTTTTTTAAAAATGTTTTCTAGCTCACGTGATGTTCCTTCTCCTAGCTCAGGCTAGCTCCAATCGCCTTCACCTTCTTTTATTGCCTCTCTACCAATATGTCCTTTGGAAATTGAAGACCAAGCATATGAAATTTCTTTTTGTCCTATGCTTTATAGTTTATCCATTAGGCCATTACTTCATTGGCCATAGCATGAAGAGGTATAGTGAAGAATAATATATGTTTCAAAATCACTTTGGACTTGAGATATGGTTCAAGAATAATATATATTTTGAATGACTCAACTCGATAAGAAAGTCGTTCTCCAAGTACTTTGTCAAGTATTCTACCTTTTTTGGTAAAAAATTCATCATACAAGAGAATAAATAGTTCACCTGACAAGTTATGTTATGAAATATCATAACTTAGAGGTTCATACAACCACATCAACGAAGAAAATGTGTAGCACAAACATAATCTTATATAAATAAACACACAATAGAGGAGAGTAAGGAGAGACACACATGCACAAGAAGTTTTGTTAACCGAGTTTGACCTATTATTTTGCGTCTTGGATCAAAGGTGGCTCACCCTTTGAGACCTAGTGTCTAGTTTTTTATTATCTTATTCCGATCTAATTTCAAGTTGAGTCTCTTTGGGTGGAACTCAAGCCATTGACAAGAATAGAGCAATATATCCCTTTTTTTATTCCTCACAAGCATTCACGCTAAAGAGAGAAACTACGCAACTTCACAACCACTCAAACAGTACAGACAATGAACTCATATCACTTCTCACACTTATTGCTAATCACATAGTGTTTGATCTTGCTTTATGTAGGATTGCTCAGTCACATTCCATAAGGCTTGTCTTGTTGCTTCCTTTTATTTATACTTCCTCAAATGCAACAATCTTCTCTTGATCTTCTTTTGATTTGAGAGATTCTTCCATACAATCATATATTCACAAATTTGACTAGTTATAATATAGTTTTACCTTTGCAAAAAGGGAAATCTTTCCCAAACACTCAATGGATTATACTTGTATGCATGCAATAAGTGTTTTGCACCCGTATGCCTTGCTTCTCGACTCTATTAGGAGGAAGATTGCTCAAGATTGGCTGGTTAGAGTGGTCCATACTTACCGGGAAGGGAATAGAGTTGCACACTAATTCTCGAAACACAGTCTCGTTTATCCCTACAGTATGCATGAACTTTCTAACCCGTCAAGGTGGGTCTGTCAGATTCTTAGGGAAGATGTAATGGCTATTCCTGTGACACTAAGCGACGAAAAGAGCCAAAAATCTCCATGGTTACGCCCTATACATACATACATATATTAAGCAATGAGCACTTCTACTATGCTATATAGTATTGGTACTCTAATGTACAATTTAAAGTTGTACCATAACATTAAATGTATAAGTTTAGGTTGTACCATAAAGCAATTTGTACCCTTATGTTATGGTACAACTTTACAACTTGAAGTTGTACCATCACATAAAGGTACAAGTTCAAGTTGTACCATAAAAGAATTTGTACAAAAAATATAGGTACAATATGAAGTTGTACCATAACGTAAATGTACAATTTTAAGTTGTATCATAAAAGCAAAACCCTATAGCACCAATACTATATAGCATTGTAAAATTTCTCATTAAGCAATATAAATAGAATGCTTTTAATTAAGCTCTCCCCCAACTTGCACTGCTAATCAAAATCAGTATTTAGCAAAGCTAGTAAAAAATTAAAAGGTGCTAATCCTATAGGAGATATCGATAGAGCATTACACGCTAGTACTATATGAACAATCCGATTTGCTGGCTGCAGGACGACGGGCAGTCTGAAATGTGGTTAAGTTGTTATAAAGTTGTTGTTACTGGTGGTACCATTATGGAAACTAGGGGTGTTGTGCCGCGCTTCACTGCGGCATTGCAAAGTTTTAGAGGCTATATTTGTTGGCCCGTGTTTGATTGGTAGAAATATTCAAATTGTCTCATTGCTTAATGTTCTATTAATCGAAGATGCATATAGCAAAATTCGTAATAAACTTGGGTATTGTCATGTTATCTCCATGCGGTATTGATTGTTGCTGCATCAGCCACCAACTTAATGGAATATGAGGTTATAATTCTACGGTTTCTTCTTCTATTATTTAAATTTGGCTCGATTTTCCTCTATTTCTTTCTTGTGCTACTTTCTCTCAACTTTCCTCCGCTGTTTCATCTTCAATTGGTAATTAAGCTTCTCGAGTGGAGTTGTGGGTTAATTATCCACATGGATAAATTTTTTAACTGTTATAGTCGACTGTATTATAAAAATAACACATGGCCGTAATGGATTCAAGAACAACTAAATTGGTAGCTCATGATCTGCAATACTGTGTTATGAGATGACCACTATTCTACTATAATTGGAGGCTTCTATTGACGCCATGATCAACCTTAGTGCTTCCTATTTCACACTCATTCATCACTTATAAGCATGATTAAAGGATCATACACATACTATTCTCCTCTTTTAACAGGAGAATTAATTACCTCCATTATTAGATGTTGGAAAGATAACTTTGATTCGATCGTATTGGCCCAAACTAATTCCTTAATCTAATTCCACTTGCAAGTTATCCGCTACTTCATTCCGCTCATGGCGTGGACGGTGAATATTAAATTGGTAGTCTAAGTTCCATCCCTCCAACTCCTTCCTCCCCATCATCTTGTCGAGATTGCGGGAATAAGTATGTAAAAAATGAGTTGATCCCAATAACTCGAGTTGTTAGGAGAATCAGCTCGAGTTTTTAGGAGAAGTTTGATTATAGATAATATATATCATTTACTAACGCACCCATCTAAATGAAAGTCACTCATACAGGTTTGAAGTTTGTACAGGTTCGGACACCTTGTGTTTAATAGAATAGATGGAGTCAGTTGGATTCGAACAAAAGACCCCTCGATCACAGGAGACTCTAATACCATATTAATAACCAATTGATCCTAATAACTCAAATTGTTGAAAGATGTTTGATTATATATACCATTTACTAATATAATCAAATTGAAAAAGAAAGTCGTATAAAATCCTCAAGAAACAATGCACTATAAACAAATGCATTGTAAATTATGGTTGGCTTATTTTTTTAATTTATTTATTTGCTTTAACTTCAATTGGCATTAACTTTTGTTGTATAGTTGTTAAATTGTTGAATACAGAGAAGATATAATTGATGTAACTTTTTCTATCTCTTGCGAAAGAATCTCTAGTTTCTCTTCTTTTCTTTAGTCAATTATCATATGAATTATTATGAGAGGTAATTGAACTAATGCCTATTGAAAATGGGCCACCAACTTCAACAAAAATACATATAAAAATGGCCAACCGCCAAAGCCCAAAGCCCTTTTCCAGCGGCTGTCATATTTGAATTTAACCTACCAGTCACTTTAGCTAAACTCTTATGCAACAGTAAACCCATTATAACTTTAATTAGTATTAAGATATGGAATGACATTTACAACAAAAAAAAAAAAGAAAGAAAGAAAGCTTATGTAAAATTTGGTGAGGAGACAGACATCAATGGCAATGCCGTCTAATGAACTAACATGGAGATACACAACCGACCATGATGAGCTTTTCACATACCGAAATTCATCGACCTACTATTTCTGTAAATGTCGCATCAGCTACAGAACAAAATTCAGGTTGCAGGACTGCAGGCTCAGCTGCAGGATTAACTCCCTGGTGTTGTTGCTGCTGCTGTTGTTGTAGTCGTCTGAATGAAAAGGTTGGTCTCTTTGGAAAGATCAACCCAACAGCAGTTTCATTCCTGAGCATTGAAGCAACTTCTAGCATGGAAGGTCGATCGACAGGGTCATCCTGAACACATAGTAATGCAATTCTCAAGCAAGCGAGTAGCTTGCAAGAAGACGATGAATCGTCGAGACACGCGTCCATCATCTCCATCCCTTGCCCGTCCTGCCACAACTCAAATGCCTGCAACAACCAACAATGTCGATCGTTAGATCTTTCCAAGCTTAGAGAGAATGCATATGATTATGAGCATCTAAGTAAAGCTATAGCATAACTTACATATTCCTGAAGGCTGAAATCTCCACTGGGGCCATAAATCATCCCATTCTTCTTGCCGCTGATCATCTGTAGCAGCAGAATCCCGAAGCTATAAACATCGGATTTGACTGAGTAAGCTCCTTGCTTGAGATATTCCGGCGACGTGTAGCCACTAAACAGGAAGAAGAAGAAGAAGAAGAAAAGAACCATCAGAATGCCATTACAATAGTTTTTTCCTGTACGGAAAATAGCTAGCTAGGGGATTGTAGTTACATTGTTCCAACGATCCTGACGGTGTTTGCTTCTGCTCCACTCTTGGAGAAGACCTTGGCAATCCCAAAATCCGATATCTTGGGGCGGAAGTCACTGTCGAGCAAGATGTTGCTGGCTTTCAAGTCGCGGTGGATGATGGTGAGTCTCGAGTATTCCTGGAGATACACAAGCCCTTGTGTTATCCCTTGTATGATTTCCACCCTCTTGCTCCAATCAAGAACATTCTTCCTTGCAGGATCTGCAGCAAACATTAGTTAGTTCGATTACACTATAATTTGAAGCAGAAACTGACGAGACAAGCGAAAGGTTGGGCGATATTACCGTAGAGGTACCTGTCGAGGCTGTTGTTGGGCATGTACTCGTAGATCAGCAACTGTTCGTCATTTTCGATGCAGAATCCAAGAACCCTGACGAGATTCACATGCTGGAGTCTGCCGGTTAGCTGCACTTCGTTCTTGAATTCTTGGAGCCCCTGAGAGGATGTTTGCGACAGCTTCTTCACCGCTATTTCTTGTCCGTCAAGTAAAACCCCCTGCAGCGAATTGAGAGTTCAGTTTTCTGCCACCTCAGGGTAATTTAATGTGTTCTTACGCTTCCTTCAGAAATCAGAATACATACCTTGTAAACAGGACCATAGCCACCTTGTCCGAGCTTGTTCTGAATGGAGAATCCCATTGTGGCTTTCTTAATTTCTTCCAAACTAAACACTTTGAGATTGTTGTCACCGAACTGGCCCGATCCTTCTATGTCCTCTGCTCTCAGATTGGAGGCTCTGCTTCTATCCTTCATTGATCCTACCAATACCAGCAAACCTGCAAACAAAGAGATGGGTTATCAATTCCAACTTACTATTTAACAAAATCCATCAACGGGGGACGATTAGATGTTCGTCGTTGATTATCCTTACCCTTAGGTCTTTTGAGCCCACTGATTCTAATCCAATAGAATCCACCTAAGGCCAGAAATATTACGAGAAAAACAGCTGTAGATATTGCCCCTGCTAACACTCTTTGCCGCCTCTTCATCCTCCTCTGTTTCTCACCTTGTTCTTTAGCTGAAGGCAACAAAAGAGTCTTGAATAAGGTTGAATGGAATAACACTTACTTCAAACAGGTTGAATGGAAGTACCTGCAACTTGAGCTAGCTCTCCGTTATCATCGAAAGGGATCTGCCACACATAGTAGCCACCAAGATTCATCTCAGTGGTGTACGAAACCTTGGCTCGAATCGCTTCAGGGCCGTCGAAGATGACCGAAACAGAGCCATTCAATGTGCAGTGATTCACGGCGTAGGTAGAATTGTAGACTACCTCTGCGCCCTTTGTGATGTCCTTGATCTCATGGTAAGTCAGGAGCTCGCCATCCCCGGTCACCGGAGCACCGATATAACCCTCCCGGGGATTCGCCAACTTCCAGGTGAATCCATAGAACGGCAGGCTAAGTACCAGCTTCTCCCGCGGAACTTTCCCCACAGTAACCCACGCCTCCACGCCCGATCCGGTGTTGGACAAGAACTCCGGGTCGTTCAATGGAGATTCGGGCTCCATGAATTTTGACGGCTCCAGATTCTGCACCATGATATGAACCCAATCCAAGTTGTTCCTGATTGAACCCACCGGGTAATTCCTCACGTTCGGATCCGGCGCGTACCCGAACTCCGCCGTCAAGAGTAGCTTCTTTTCTCCGACCGTCTTCACTTCGGCCTCGACCTGGGCTCGCCATTCTTTGAACAGATTGCTGATGCCGGCGAAATCGTCGGCGGATTGGCCGGACCAGGAGAAATCCATCCCCTGAAACCCATGCCTTCTAGCTGTTTGTATTGTGGACTGAATGAAAGCACCGCGGCGGGTGGGATTGGTGACCATGGATGAGAAATCGGTGTCGTTGGCATCCCCGCCGCCAATGGAGTAAAGGGTCGTGACGGATGGGTTCTGCTGCCGGACGATGGCCGTGAAATTGGCGAAGTGTTGCTCGTCAGAAGGGTCGATTGAAATGCGGTGGGTGGACGAATTGATGGTGGCGTAACCACAAATGAGGTGAGTGTAGAACGTGGAGTTGAGAGATTCAGGGGATTCGAAGTTGGAGACGATCCAGTAGCCTCCTCGGATCAACTCTCGAGCATTTGCAATTGCAGGCAGTGGAATGAGAGAAAGGGACAGGGCAATCAGGGTAAGAAAGAGAACTGAAGGACCAGCCGCCATGGGTTGTTGGAAGCTCAATGATAGCTGAAGTTGGTGACTTGGAGGATGGATGGATAATTGGGTTCCCAGAATTCAATTAGTGGTATTAATATCCCAAAGGTTAGTGCTTCCCTACTTTATCAACTAATTATTAAAGTGATCACGCCCTATAATGTGGAAAATGTGTGAGAGGATATAATATGATTTTGATTAAGGTTTCACGTTGGTTTGTAAGACATGGCAGCTCGAATCAGAGACCGAAAAGGACAAAAAGAAAGACTAATCAGACATGAGTCAACGCGGTGCAGAGGAGATGGAATGAAGGGATGAACCTCATTAACCGTCCTAATTAAGGATTATTATTGTTAATGTTAATTTTGTCAAAAGCAGGGTACGATTAGTGGCTCAAAAGTAAGAGATTGCTCAGAAGCATCGCTCTGTTTACTTTTATTTGACCTTTCAGTTAGTTAGGTATGGCGCAGCTAATTAGGAACATGTGAGAGAAATTCAGCTGCTAATTATTTACACTTAATTCCTTTTGTTTGTCAATTGTCACACATACTCCAAAGCCAGCAGCATGGCAATTTTAACCATACAAGAATTTCACTAACCAATCCAATCCAATTGGGTTAGGTATGAAATCCAAACAGATGGTAAATGAGTAGAGTTTGATGGGAAAACCAATTCAATTGGGTTGAGTATGAAATCCAAACAGATGGTAAATGAGTAGACTTTGATGGAAAAAAATAGTATATATAGAGTGGGAACAGGGGGTCAAACCACTAAGCAAATGAATCATTGTGAGCAATCTCAACTAGAAGAGATTTTCAATTTATTAAACACACATCTCTAATTATATCAATGTTAATTATTTTTCTAATATCAAAACGCAAAACACTGTCGTCCATCCCAGAAAGGCAACAATCCCCAATTTCAATTTCGTTTTCCTCCACCCAGCAGCAGCAAAGGCGCTGTGAGTTGCACTCGCCGACCTCCAAGCTTTCCATCCTCCAACGGCTGCGAGTCCAGCCTCCAAGCTCTCCATCTTCGGCTCCAACCTCGCCGAACCTCCATTCACCACCCATATTTCCGGCTCCTATCCTCCAAATTCAAACTATTTCCAGGCTCCAAACTTCAGTTCTCCATCCTTCACCTCCAAAAAATCCTTCTCTTTTCAATCGTGAACAGGGCAAGAGAGCAACAAGCCAGCAACACAAAAAATACTTTGGTTCACATCATCAATCTTAACAACAAGGTAAAATCTAAGTTTTTAATTTCGATTACTTGAAAGTTTTGTTATTTGTGTTAATTTAGGGAGCAATGTCTATTTTTTACCCAAACCTTTTTCAGATTCTTTTATTTTAACCAAACCTATAGAAATTCTATTTATTATCCAAACGTATTATAATTTATCAAAGTCTGGGCATTCATTCTGTTACCGTTACTTATTTCGTCCACGTGAGGGGTGAGATTTTGTTTTGTTTTTTGATTATCTTTTTATTAAAAATAGTAAATGATGGTATTCTGACCGCCATGTAGGAAGTCAACTCATTATGGTCATACTTAGCCAGCATTACTAACAGAAAAGTTGACGGAGAGTTAACGTTTGGATAATTTTTAGGAATTCAATAGGTTTGGTTAAAATAAAAGAATCTGAAAAAGGTTTGGGTAAAAAATAGACATTGCCCATGCCCTAATTTAGGGTAAGGTTTGTGTGTTTGGTATACTCAATTTCATCAAGGTTCGTTATACGCGATGTGTGTAGAATTATTATTATTATGTAATTGAACAAATCTTGGGTATTATGTTATTGAGTTCATATTTTCGTTTAAAGTTGACTTTTCTATTGTATAGTTGACTATTTCATGACATGAAGAAACACCCTCTTGATCAATTTTTGGCTCCGCCACTGCCTACAGGAACACCAATGGGCCTCACTCGGATTCAAACCTGGGATCTGCAACTCCCAAGTCTTCATTGTCAAAACAACTTTACCATTAGACTATCTTACCTTTCATGAATAATTGTTTCATACCTATCCATATATGTACTTAATGCATTCAAAACTCTTATTCCAGAATTTTTTTTTACAATTTATTCCAAGAGTTATTGTAGATTTTTTACATTTTCCAGTTTGTTTGATGTTTCACATATTAAATACGTATATATCGTCAATACAATTATTTTAAAGAATTGAATTAATAAATTTACCAACTTTTTATGCCAATATTCACTTTCAAATTATAAAATTCAAATTAATTATTATTATTATTATTATTATATATATATATAAAGAGCAAGGTTTGCACCATTTTTCCAACTTCGTTTTTGTTTCTTTTCCAATTCATCATTTTCAGTTTTGTATATATGTTTCTTTCCCTTTTGATGATTTGCTTGGCGACTGGCCTAAATTTTTTCATTTGATCCTTTTTTCTTTAATTTTCTTTCATTTAGTTTATTCTACACATTGCATAAGGGTGCACAGTAAGTTTTTTTTCACCTTTTGTTTCCAACTATTTTTTCAGTTCTTTTTCCATTCTGTCACTTTTTTTACACATATTTCTTTCCCTTTCGATGATTTGCTAGGCAAATGGTATAATTTTTTCATTTCATAGTTTTTCCCATCATTTTTTTTCATTTAGTCAATTCCAGGGCCGGCCTAGAGGGTGTGCTGGCCCGCCCTCCGGCACAGGGCCTCCAAATATTAGGGGCCTCCATTTAGATCCGTTAGTTACCGATCGTACATTGTAGATTGTATTTTTAGTATATGATTGATTGATTATGAGTATGATGACGATTTTAATAGATAATTTTAGCTATAATAACAATTAAAAATGATATCATGAAGACTACGAAAATAAGAAAGATAATAGATAATTTTATGGGTAACGTCTATTTTTTATCCAGACCTTTTTCAGATTCTTTTATAATATCCAAACCTATCGAAATACTAAAAATTAGCCGAATGTTAACTTTCGGTTAGCATTTTTGTTAGTAATATTGACTTGACAACATGATACTGACTTGGAAGAGACACATGAAGGTCAAGATTCCAAAATTTTAGTATTTTAACTAAGAAAAGAGTTACAGAATTATTAACAATAACGTAAAAATGACTAATATTTTGGTGCATTATGAAAGATTTGGCTAATTAATAAATTTTTAATAGGTTTGGATAATATAAAAGAATCTGAAAAAGGTTTGGATAAAAAATAGACATTACCCTAATTTTATTTTAAACTATGTAGAAAGATATTACAGACATTTTAGTTTTATTATAGTTAAAAGTCAATTTAGACCACGTCTCAATTTTGGAACAAGGCCCCCACGAAGCATTAGACAGCCTTGGGAATTTGGTTTTGGTTTCTTCGTCAAACTAGAAACGTTATCATTTATTTCTTTTGTAATCATTTTCTGAGACTATGCGTTTTTTTATAATTATTTAATAATTTTTATTTTTAATAAATTTGTGGAGAAAAATTTTAGGGCCACATTTTAAATTTTCGAACAGGGCCTCCGAATATCATGGGACGGCCCTGGTCAATTCTATGTCTGTTTATTCCTTTTTTTCATTTCATCGTTTCTACTCAAGGTTTCTTCTTCCCTATGACGACTGTAAATGTTTAGGGTTTAGGATATTGCAATGGTGTTCGATTGAAAACTGCATGCATATGATGAACTGTTTAAAAATTTAAAACTTGGATAATTTTGCTACACTTAGATTATAAGTACAAACAATAGCACATTTTGATGTTTTTTTTATGGGATTTTCTTTTTCACATATAAAACTCTTCATTCTAACTTATTTCAATTACCGATAATGCAGAAAATAATGTACATGAATTGTAAATTGTTCGTGAAAGTCTCGACAAAGTGGTATTTGTTTCCTTGAGAATTTTATAAAATAAAAAATACTAATTTGACAATTGAAATGGTCAAACTACAATAAAAAAATGTATTTAATCTAATTCAATTTAATGTAGTACAATTATATATTGATCATTACCCGACGCAGAGCACAGACCAATTATCTAGTGTATTATAATTTATAACGAACATTTAACGTACTATTGATTGAAAAATAACAATTTTTTATAAGAATATAAAACTTATTACATATTAATATCATAACATATCTGCACCATATTGAATGGGGCTGTCAAAGGTAATATGAACGAGACTGATGAGAAAGAGCTTTGGCAGGCCGCCGTCCTCGGCAAATTGTTTTACCCTGCCTTGCATGCATCTCAAACAAAAAGCTGGGAAATGGATTGTTGAAGAAATATACACGGCGCGTTCGTCAAACAAGGAGGACATAATAATAATAATTTGGATTGAAATGATTGCAATTAGGAAGGGATAAACTTGTGGAATCTTCCCATTAAGCAGCAACTTTGTAATTAAAAGGCCTCAACTTTTCTGTCAGGAGTTTAATAATCTTGGAGATTCACAAAGTCAGTGGTTTCCAGAACCATTTCCTTTGCCTTTCCTATTATAGATTCATGGCATTTCACCCCTTTATGGAGACAAGTTGTACAATGTGGGCTTTGGTACAGGTTTGGTGCATGAATAGCTACAACTGTTCTTAACCTCGATTGGATTATCGAGTTACTAGTTCAATTATGGTGATTATTACCTTTTGTTTTCTCTTTTTTTTTTTTAATTGTCGGTCAAAATTATTTTAATGATAGTTTTGAAAATGAAAAAGATCGTACATATGATTATTACACGAGAAGATGGAGTTGGCGAAGTCTTATCTCGCTCGAGCAACAAAGAAGATGAAGAAGTGGGCGGATAAGAAGCGGCGTCACTTGGAGTTCGAGGAGGGAGACTTGGTGATGGTGAAGTTCTTCCCTCATCGATTCAAGCACCTCAAAAATGTGCACAAGGGGCTGCTGCGACGATATGAAGGGCCATTTCCGATTTTGAAGCGGATTGGCACGGTGGCGTACAAAGTTGAGTTGCCATCGCACTTGGAGATTCACCCCGTCTTCCATGTGAGTCAATTGAAGGCATATCAT